ATTAAAAGCTGGATTTTCACCACAGGGGGACTTTGATATTCTTCTAATATGCTGAAGAAACCTTTCTTATTATTATCATAGTGCTGCAAAGATAAATATTTTGTAGTGCTGCGAAACAGAGATGTGATGCACAGACGAATGCATAAATAAACTACATAAAAACACTAGTGGCTAGTGTTGTACTATGCATATATAAACCACTTTGACTATGCAGAATCAACATATGCAATCAAAGCGATCTGAACAAGCTAATCAAGGTCTGCTGGATTACCAGAGAGCTACTACTATGTATACTTATAATAATTTCAATAACTGGGTAACTATGTACTTATCCTGAACCAACCCCTAAACATAACCTTAACCCATGTAGTTACCTCATATTACCAGTAGTTTCTGAGGTAAGTACACTGTAAGTACACGTACTGTAAAATAAAGTGAAGCGGCAGAGATTGATCAGGGTTGGACAGTGGATCTCCATCTAGAGCTGCTTATTGCCACTTTTGTCAGCAATGTTCAATTTTATGCTGTCTCAAGAAAATGCACTGCATTATAAATGTAGATGTAGATTTATGGGTAAGGGTCACTGTAATTACCATGGTCCTGATGTAAACCTAGTGGACACCATGCATGAAAGGGTTAATTACATTAAATTGTAATGTCGGTTGCATTTTCTTATTTTGTGATTTAAAATTATTAAAAAAACAATTATTAATAGGTTATCACAAAAAAGTGCTTCCTATTGTTTCATTACAAGTTACATATTGGATCATAAAGCTTGAAGTGCTCCATATAAATCTGCAGCGTATGAAGTAGCTTCCAGTAGAGTGCACATAAAGCTGTTCAGTGATTACAGCGAACTATAGACTCGTCCCTGGAGCACGTTCAGTTACAATCGGACGAATGCTAAATCAATGAGGACTGCTAAATCTATTCAAATTGGGTTTTAAAGGGGCCATGAATTCTTTTGACATATAAGAGGTCATTTGTAATGCTGTAGTAGAGGATGTGATGGGCTGGTTCAGGTCCTGGTTAATAGTGGCAGAGCTGACTGTGTTCTTAGTCCTTGAGAACAGTGTTTTAGGAAAGGCTTTATGGTGGATTTATGGATATGATGATGCCATAAGAACCTAGTGTGCCTTACCACACACTGCCGGCACATTTTCTATAGCGCTACTATAAGCTTACCAGTACCTCCTTCTAACAGATCTGCAATATACGTTCCTCTTGGCACTTACTCCAGCCAAGACACAGTTTTACTGTAACATAAAAAAATAAAATAAAAAATAAAAAAATTATTGAGTTTTGACATTTTTTAAAATGTCATATATGCTTGTTTTATTTATAAGGTCTGGCATGGGCTTGCCCCACCTCCGTTAAATGAATTTATAAAACAGAGGACAGATTTTTGTACCAGGTCTATCATTAGAGGGGATTGCGATGTGTCATATAGGCGAACATCTTTTGGTCAGAAAGTATTATTTGTGATAGGGAGCAAATACTGGAATAGTTTACCGCAGTCAATAAGACAATGTTCTACTTATCACACATTTAAATATCATCTTGAAAAGTGGCTTATGACGAATCAGTTGTGTAAAGATTTTACTTAGAAATTTTAATAATGTGTTTGGGGTATTTGTCTCTTTGTAGTGTTGTGTGTATGATTATGTGTTCTTGTATGGAATAGTTTAGGGACATAGGGGCTGCGGACGTAAATTAGCAATGTTGCTATAATCTGGCTTGTTTACATTTTGTATTTTATACTAATCTTCATTAACATGCTTTGTCCCTATCAAATAAATAAACAAAACTAACACAAATTAATTAATAGGCAGACAATCTAAAGTAGTGTTTCTTCACAATAGTGTATTTTTACGTAAAATGTAGTTCTACCACACGTACATTTACTTACGTTTTCATACACACCGAAACATATACTACTGACGTATTGACAGCACTAAAACGTAAAATAATTAAGTATTGATCGCACTAAAACGCTAAATATTTATGTACTGACGGCACTAAAACGCAAATTGTCTACGTATTAACAACTTTACCGACGTACAAATTTGTACGTATTCCTATTTATGAATATTAAAATTGTGCCATTAATGTTTTGACTATTGTATTCAATTCTCATATCAATGAGATGTTTTCAGTCGCATATATTAAACGCATTTTACTCATTTACTTAATAAGAAATATTAACATTCGCTCTGTACATGACTTCTGCTGCAAACTCGTTTCGATAAATTGTGAATACACTAGTTTGTCTGCTACGTTTTTCTTCATAACTTTACGTATAGTTTTAAGAAATTTTAATGGTTAGGTTTAGGGGTAGGAGTAGGATTATCGGCTCAAAATGTCTTGTTAATTCTATAGTGTTACTAAAATTTTAATTTTCCTACACATCTTTGTCCAAACGTTTTATTATTTTTATATTTTGTACAAAATGGGTATGTTTAGGTTTAGGAGTAGGGTTAAGGGATCTTACATTTATCTATAAAATGTTAAAAGGGAAATTATACAGATATCTTTATGATATGAAAGATTTGTAAATATTAAACTTTTTGTAGCTGTAAAAACTTAATTATGCTAGGTTTAAATTCCATATTATACGTTTCAGCATCTATTGAAATGTACAAAGAAGTTTGTTTGAAATGTACGTAATACCTATGTATTAACTACCGGTAGGCTCTTTTTACATAGTAGGTCAATTTAAACCAGTCTGGGAAACTATACAACAGTTCTATCATAGAATTCTATCATCTGGATTTTCTAAGGATTTTTTCTGGATATTTTAAGATAGAAAGTCTGGGACGAGGGTAAAGCAAAAAAATAAATCTCTATAAATGTGGAATGTACATAGAAATTCAAATAGAGCGTAACAGAAATAAAGTAAAAAAAAAAAGTAATTGGAAAAAAAGAGAAAAATGTCATAGCCACAGATCTTTATTCTATCGCACAAATGCGACTCATGTGTAGTCCCTCACTGCATCCATACATACATTAATTTTCTATATCACTTCTCCTGTGTAGAGTCTCATGAATGCTGAAGCCCATCTCACCCGTCTTGGACCGTGGCCAGTCCATTGTAGGGCTAACACACACACACACACACACACCTCTGGGGCACCCGAAGGAAACTAAAACTTTCAGGAAACTAAGAATTAGCATTTTCAAAAATTCTTTGCAGCACAGAATACTTGTAGAGTGTCTTTTTAAGCCATATATTTATTCCTTTGACAAGTCCCCCAACTTCCTTTTTGCCCTTCAAACCAAAACACATTCAATTTGGCAAATCGTACTTAATCCTGTTGGTTGCATTCTAAATCAGGACAAAGAAAGAACATAAAAGTAAGGTTTGGCTGGGTAACAATCAATCTTTTGTTCCAACAGTTGGGAGCACAGCGATGAGGAGTAGTCCCGGGGTGGCAGCTACAACGCGAGGAGCGGATACTGAGCTTAAAGATTCCAGTGTCCTGAGCATTTTCCTCGGTGTACAGGTTTTCCAGGCCTCAGTCTCTGTCTGGCATCTTACCCTCAGCACATCCTGTGGGAGAAGAAGCCTGGTTTGAAGCAGAGGCTCTGCGGCCACATCAAACAATGGCTTTTTGTTGTAAACAAAGACAGGGCAGGCTGCCTGGGGCCTCCATCTCTCTCTCTCTCTCTCTCTCTGTCTTTCTCTTTTACTCCACACACCAGTCATTCCCCTTTTGCTCTCTTTTTCTCTGCATAGCTTCTAGCCCTCTGGATTGTGTCCAGACTGCTTCCCCCATATGCCACCAGTCCCAACAGTTTGTCTTACAAAGTCACTCTGGCTTTCCATTTTATTTGTATGCATAAGCCCACAAACTTGTCAAACAAAGAGAAGTGTGTGGAGGTGGAGGAAATCAGGAGAGAATGTAGCAAATGCATCAAAACACCAAAACAAAACAAATCACATTTACTAAATATTAAAGGGAGACTGAGGCCAGTTTTATAGTTTTTGTAATATATATATATGTTTTTTTTTTTCCTTGAAACTACATTTCTTTATAGGCACACACTTTAACATCTTGGCTACAAAACAGCTATTGAACATTTTCACCTGTCACAAACCACACAGAGACAGGATGACAATGAACATAATTGTCAGGCCTGGCGAGGATTCAACTCTGTGGCTTCTTGTAAGTATTCCAGATTACGATGGTCAGTGATTAGCTGAAAGGAATGACAGGAACACTCCTTCACATCATTTCCAAATGTCTTGCGCAGTGCTAGGCCAGAGCACTCAAATTTGGTAAGAGAAAAATAGATTGATAGAAATTATGATTATTTGGCAATGCCACGTGGCCTGACAAAGAACACATTACACATGTAATAATGTGCTCTATACACAAACAACAGCAGACATAGAACAGAGTATGTTCATACTTAGAAACTGAGGGCAATAATTACTCAGCAAACTGATGAACCAAACAAGGAGCAGGTGACGGAAATCAATCAAACAATGAGTAACTATGACAACGAACATAGAACATACTTAGAAACCAAGACAACTGAAAGGAAACACAGAAAACAATATGAGTAAAACTAAGGGGCTGTTTACACGACACTGTTTTCACTAAAAACGTAAAACATTTTATGCGTTTTGGCCGTTCGTTTACACCACAATAGCGTTTTGGGTGCCTGAAAAAGCAAACTTTTGAAAATAGGTTTTAAAGTGCAAGTTTTTAAAAATGGTCTCTGTGTAAAAAAAAATTAAAAACGTGTATGTCTACAGACGATGACGTCATGCTCATGCGTATTTCGTGTTCAGTCTATAGCGTTTCATCGCCATCTAATGGCCTGGCAGAAGAATACAGGGTTTTTAGCCGTTTTCGCGGATCCGTGTGAATGGGGATGGTTTTGACAATGCTGTCGTCTGTATGCGGAAAACACAAAGGAAAAACTTCTCTGTTTTAAGCATATCATTGTCGTGTAAACGTACCCTAAAACCAAAACCAATACTTCACGTGATATTAACGTGAGGACTGAGGCGGAGCCAGTGGGAGTGAGGACTGAGGAAGAGCCAGTGGGAGTGAGGACTGAGGGTGAGCCAGTGGAAGTGAGGACTGAGGAGGAGCCAGTGGGAGTGAGGACTGAGGTGGAGTCAGTGGGAGTGAGGACTGAGGTGGAGTCAGTGGGAGTGAGGACTGAGGTGGAGTCAGTGGGAGTGAGGACTGAGGAGGAGCCAGTGGGAGTGAGGACTGAGGTGGAGTCAGTGGGAGTGAGGACTGAGGCGAGCCAGTGGGAGTGAGGACTGAGGCAGAGCCAGTGGAAGTGAGGACTGAGGCAGAGCCAGTGGGAGTGAGGACTGAGGAGGAGCCAGTGGGAGTGAGGACTGAGGAGGAGCCAGTGGGAGTGAGGACTGAGGTGGAGTCAGTGGGAGTGAGGACTGAGGTGGAGCCAGTGGGAGTGAGGACTGAGGCAGATCCAGTGGGAGTGAGGACTGAGGTGGAGTCAGTGGGAGTGAGGACTGAGGTGGAGCCAGTGGGAGTGAGGACTGAGGCAGATCCAGTGGGAGTGAGAACTGAGGCGGAGTCAGTGGGAGTGGGGACTGAGGCGAGCCAGAGGTAGTGAGGACTGAGGCGGAGTCAGTGGGAGTGAGGACTTAGGGGGAGCCAGTGGGAGTGAGGACTAAGGTGGAGTCAGTGGGAGCGAGGACTAAGGCAGATCCAGTGGGAGTGAGAACTGAGGTGGAGTCAGTGGGAGTGGGGACTGAGGCGAGCCAGTGAAAGTGAGGACTGAGGTGGAGTCAGTGGGAGTGAGGACTGAGGTGGAGTCAGTGGGAGTGAGGACTGAGGTGAGCCAGTGGGAGTGAGGACTGAGGCAGAGCCAGTGGGAGTGAGGACTGAGGCGGAGTCAGTGGGAATGAGTACTGAGGCAGAGCCAGTGGGAGTGAGGACTGAGGTGGAGTCAGTGGGAGTGAGGACTGAGGCGGAGCCAGTGGGAGTGAGGACTGAGGCGGAGCCAGTGGGAATGAGGACTGAGGCGGAGCCAGTGGGAGTGAGGACTGAGGTGGAGCCAGTGGGAGTGAGGACTGAGGTGGAGTCAGTGGGAGTGAGGACTGAGGTGGAATCAGTGGGAGTGAGGACTGAGGCAGGGCCAGTGGGAGTGAGGACTGAGGCGTAGCCAGTGGGAGTGAGGACTGAGGCGGAGCCAGTGGGAGTGAGGACTGAGGTGGAGTCAGTGGGAGTGAGGACTGAGGTGGAGTCAGTGGGAGTGAGGACTGAGGCAGAGCCAGTGGGAGTGAGGACTAAGGTGGAGCTAGTGGGAGTGAGGACTGAGGCGAGCCAGAGGTAGTGAGGACTGAGGCGGAGTCAGTGGGAGTTAGGACTGAGGTGGAGCCAGTGGGAGTGAGGACTGAGGTGGAGTCAGTGGGAGTGAGGACTGAGGTGGCGTCAGTGGGAGTGAGGACTGAGGGAGATCCAGTGGGAGTGAGAACTGAGGTGGAGTCAGTGGGAGTGGGGACTGAGGCGAGCCAGTGGTAGTGAGGACTGAGGTGGAGTCAGTGGGAGTGAGGACTGAGGTGGAGTCAGTGGGAGTGAGGACTGAGGCAGAGCCAGTGGGAGTGAGGACTGAGGCGGAATCAGTGGGAGTGAGGACTGAGGCAGAGCCAGTGGGAGTGAGTACTGAGGCAGAGCCAGTGGGAGTGAGGACTGAGGTGGAGTCAGTGGGAGTGAGGACTGAGGTGGAGTCAGTGGGAGTGAGGACTGAGGTGGAGTCAGTGGGAGTGAGGACTGAGGTGGAGTCAGTGGGAGTGAGGACTGAGGTGGAGTCAGTGGGAATGAGGACTGAGGTGGAGTCAGTGGGAGTGAGGACTGAGGCAGAGCCAGTGGGAGTGAGCAGGGGCGGACTGGGACCGAAAAGTGGCCCTGGACTTTCTGGCCCACAGCAGCCCACCACATCCCAAATCATAACACATTGGCCCATTAATGTGCAGAATATTTTTTTAACACCACTTATAGCATAAAAATATAACACAATACAAAAATAAATGCTATTTAAACATTTATTTTAAGTAACACAACATATAGCCTATTAGGTCATATTTGTAAAACCAAAGGGAAACAAACAGAAGAACATTAAGACAACATATAAAACTATCAAGACAGCATATCAGCTAGTCAGGGGGAGCTAGAGCCATCAGAGCCTGTTGAACTGCTACTCTTCGCGCCAAATGTATAATCTGTTAATTTGAAGCATTTCACAGCATCTACCTCTAATGCTTTTTTTAACCGTCGTCTGAAATTGGTCCTCGTCGGCTTTTTTTCGGCCGATTCGACATGTCGGTGAAAGAGGGAACTCTGATTGGCTGTCCAGCTTAGTGAACGAGTCAGTGCACTGCACGAGAATAATAGCAAAACAGCGAGCAAAGAAGTCAAAACTGCACAGATAGAAGGCTGTTCTAATGTTACGTCATATTACCTGAGTGTTCCTTGGCGAATATTTAAATATTAACATGAGAGGAGTGGAATAAAGAAGGTGTTTAGCAGGATTGATATTCAGAACGGTAAGCACGCACTGCTTTGTTTACGGTGTGTATCTGCAGCCGGCAGCGTCGGTTTCTCTTTTTGATTGACGAATATATCTGCAGAAATAGACAGTTGTCTCATTTACACGCAGGCGCAGAACGCGCATTGCCGCATTAGCTAACAGTCGGCTGTAGTTCTCTCGGTGTGTTCAAGTGCAGCTTTTTTCCCGCGACACAGGCGACGCGGTGATGCGAGGCGACAACACAGTCGGCTTTCATCTGATTCTGCGCTAGTCAGTTGGAGTGAGGACTGAGGCGGAGTCAGTGGGAGTGAGGACTGAGGAGGAGCCGTAGGGAAGGAGTAGACTTTTTGGGACTGCGAGGATGGTGCGCGTACAACAGCGTATGTGCAAGTGACTTGAGCGCTTGAAAACAAAATCCTCTAGATAGTGCACACATGCCAATGTAGCACATCGGTACATACAAATTTGTCCATTTTTGTTTATTTATAAATTATATACAAATGTGTCTCTCATTTATATATCTTTATTTTATATTTTACTATCTGTGTACTTATGTTGTCTCTGTGTATTGGAAGCTTCTTCTGTCACTAAAAACAAATTCCTTATGTGTGCAAACATACAGTAATTGGCAATAACTCTTTCTGATTCTGATTTCCGATTTCACCTTTTTAACTCATAATAATGGCAAGCCTTGTCTTGTCAACCGCATCTTATTTTCTTGATCAGGTTACCTCAAATTTGATTATTTGATTTAAAATCATAAACATACTGTAAACCATAACAATTTAGCAAATCGTCACAGGACTCAGAGACAGAAGAAGGTTTTATTGAACGTTATGGTGAATAACAGAAATGCAGGTGAGTAGACAGATGAATAGAGATACCAAGGCAATCTTTCTTTGCAAATGCTGACAGGAACACAAGAGAAAACGTGGACGATCAAGGATGAAAAGTAGAGGTGATGGAAATTAATTATTAACATGGATTCCAACTGTGTGTGATTTAAAACTCACTTGTGAGCAGAGTGTGTTGGGAGAGGGTCCAAGACACCAATATAGTTAACTGTCAATTAAATTTACTCTGTGGACAGTGAACTTGAAACACACCACAGATTATAGAGGGACTCATATGCACAAAGTACATTTAATATTTAGGCCTTAATTCTTAAATTCTTCTAAAACTTGCAATGCACAGGGGCCGGTTGCACCAGCTGTTCGTAAGTTACAACTTAGCCTAGTTTTGACGTAAATGGGCAGGTACAACTGACGTAGTACTTAATATTTTTAGTGTGTGCATCTGTCCCATTGGTCCCTGTTGTGCATGTCAAATAAAATCAGTTATAATCAATAAATGAAGTATTTGTAGGCTGCTATTGGATCATTGAGGGTAAACGCCATATTATGCGACTACGCATTACTTTACGGAGAGTTTACGACCTACTAACTACGTTCTGCCTTACGAACAAATGGTGCAACAGAATAAAGTGCAGAGTTAGTTACAAAATTGAGCGTCAGCGTCAGTTCTGGCAGGCCAGGTAGTCAAGATGCTGCTAACGCTATCGGCCGACAACACGGTCTCATCAGCGATCGCTCAGCTGAGCTGCATCAGCGCATCTGCTGTTCATCTCCCCTCGCTGCTAATGCATACGCTCAAATCTCAAATCCGCAATGTTTGTGTGCACTACCAAGCATTCAACTTAACATAAGCTTGTCTTAGCCGGACACATCAGGCTTCCAATTTTACGATATATATATATATATATATTTTTTTTTTTTTTTTTTTGCTTTAAACAGAAAATAATTTGTTAATCAAACGTTTAGCTGTCACCCTTTATGATAGAACTATTGTGCTTTTTTTTCACGGTTTTGTAGCAGTGGGAAAAAAACCTACCAACATTAGCTAGAAACAGTATTAAGATAGTAGAGAAGAGAGCCGTGGAACTGCTCAGTTAGCTTCAGAGTCACTACTGGTAAATGCATTTACCTAACACACTGTAGCCCAATGTCAAAACGGTTTTATGTCAACATTAAATTTTACCTTTTAAAACCTCCATTAATTTATTATGGAAAAAGCCTGCCACTAATACCACAATGCTAAGCAACATGACATCACAATCCTGAACTCTTATATCAGAGAAACAGTTGCATCTGTGATTCTGTGTACTTCCTCCAGCGAATTGACTTTAATATCATTGAACAAATAATATAAACCTGCATTGTAATATCTTTGGTTGCAGGTGCAAAAAGTGATCATCCCTACCACCCGGACTATGTGCCAACTATATTTAAGCATGTGTCAACACCAAAGAAAAGGAAAACCATGAATGCAGTGGAAAGTTTTGACAGGAGGCAAAATTTGAAACGTAAACGACTGCAAGCTGGTAAAGTTGATGATGCAGTTCAAGGATTGATACATCTGTCACAAACTGATAATCATGAAGAATTTGTTGAACAAGCGGATGCTGGATCAACACCAAACGATTTAACACACTGCAATAGTGACCAATGCAAGAGGTATAGAAAGATTTTGGAGGATGAATGTCAACAGTTAAGATCTGAAAACATGGAACTAAAACAGAAACTGCACAATCTCAAATTCGATGAAAAGGGATTTGAAAATAATGATGACAAAGTTCGAACATTAACTGGTTGTCCTTCATTCCAAAAACTCAAATTGATCTATGGTCATGTACATCCATGGCTAATGTCCAATACTTCCATCCCCCCGTTTCAGCAATTCATCTTCACAATGTTGCGTTTACGATTGAATGTGACTTTGACATTTTTGTGTTACCTGTTTCACATAAGTAATTCTGCAGGTTCAAGAATATTTCAGAACTGCACTAATATTTTGTATAAAAGAATTGTACCTTTGTTAGTTAAATGGCCAGGAAGAGATGAGCTAAGGTTAACTTTGCCATTCTCATTTCGAAATGGATTTAGTCGATGCACATGCATTATCGACAGATAAACCTCAGCTCTATTTAGCAAGATCCCAAACATATTCTTCCTAAAAATCACACAATACAATGAAATATATGATTGGCATTACTCCCCAAGGCACTATTTCTTTTATTTCAAAAGGGTGGGGGGCCGGACATCTGATAAGCACATTGTGGAGAACAGTGGCTTTTTGAATAATTTACTTCCTAAGGATCTGGTATTGGCGGACAGAGGCTTTGATGTTGCTGATTCAGTTGCCCTTTATTTAATGCTGAATTGAGGAAAGAAACAACTGGATCCAATAGACAAAGAAAAACTCGAGGGATAGCATCTGTGCGGATCCACGTGGAGTGCGTCATTGGCCTTACAAGGCAAAAATTTACAATTCTTGATGGACCCATTCCATTGTCTTTATTAGAGTCTTCGAATGGAGAAATGCCATTGGACAAAATAGTACATATTTGTTGTGCCATTACAAATCTTTCTGAATCAGTTGTACCATTTGAATGAAAGCTGTGCCTCATATCAACAGATTCTATCACGCTTGTGTTTGAATCCTGCGGTGGGACATTCCAGATTGCTGCTTGATGCTTATTAGCCATGATAGTACAAGGTCCCTAAACCCAAATACATTAATTACTTTTTTCATTAATTTGAAATGTGTTCAGAATATCTGTCTATTGTAACAATGACAGTAAATAACAATAGGTTGAAATATATATCATGTTCTAACTTTGCAGTCAAGTTTACATTCATGTCAGTTGTTTGTGATAAAAGGTACAAGAAGTAAAATGTAAACAAATTATAAAAGTGCATGTAAAATATACAATAAATTTTAGATGAAATTATACAAGGTTACTGGACGTTTTACGTCTATTCAGTGTTTGTAACATGTCCATGACAACATCTAGTGTTAAATAAGTGCATAGTGTACCAACTTTAAATGCATAAAAGAAAGTCACCGACCCTAAGACCGATAAATGTACTCTTTTAGAGATATTTAACATTTTCTGTGACATTCTTTTTTCCTTGTTTAGTTTTGTCCTACATCCAGGACAGTACCATCTTTTAGGTATTTGTATTACCTTTAAACAGTCCGCATGAAACATTTTGATAGGACATGAAACTGACATGCAGGTCAGCATAGACTCAGTGGGGGGCTCTTGGCAATAACACACCTTTTCTTTATCAGTATTTTCTACCCTCTTAATTTGGCATGTAATTACCTTCGCTAAAAGATTTGGTAGAATAACAGACACATAAAAAGTCTGCAGTTCTGAAACAACATTGAGAATAAAATCATGGTCCACGTAAATTCTTACCACAAATAAGTCATTGTCATTAGCCGTGAACACAATAAAATCACAGTAATTGCTTTCTGTTGTCAACAGTTGTGTCTGAACCTGATAGTAATATTCATGCTGCTTATAATTGCAGGTCACCGTTTGCATCCGATGTTAAGCAAAATTTGCTATCTGT